CCACTAACAGTAAACTGAAGTGTTTCACTGATGTATATTAAAATCAATGCTTAAATACTTTAAATAAGAATTTAAAGATTCAAAACTTTCAGTTAAGCTCAAAATCTAAGACTCTTATCAAAGAAGTCTACAACAAAATTAGGAGAGTCAATAAAGGCACATTCTACTCCCCATTCCCAAAGCCACCTCCCTAAGATGAATTTATCTTTAAAAAAAAAAGGACAATAGTTATTAGTCTCTTAACTACAGCTAAAACTAAACAAACAGTGTCAACAGTCCACACAATTTGCTTTTTCCATGGTATTTTTGGTCCTCAATAATTGCTCTTTACATCAGCGATGAAATCGGACCACAGACTGTCACAGGGTCAGTCAGAACTGAGAAATGGTTAAATCCATGAATATCATGCACTACTCCTTCCTTTTCATTTGGAGAAACTCACTTTTTTGGTTTTTTTTAAGGTGACAGATTTCAGCGATTGGTGGATATTATTGTTTGAAGCTTGTACAGCTGCTGAACAACTGCAACATTAAATATGTTTAAGTGGACTAAAAACTAAACCATATTGCATTAGATTGCTATATTTTAACTGTTAATAACACTAATGTTAAAATAGTCATCTGAGATGACTTAACACTATCAGTGTAAGAGTCCATTTAATCAAAACATTATGTTTTGTTTAATGAATTAATAATTTACTTGGCTTTCAATTACCTTTGACCAAAGTATTTCATGACGCAGTTTTACCTTCTATATAGTTTCAATTACTAAATGGTTTCAACCAAGGGGACTAATTGCAGGTTACCAATTGAAATAGAAATATTTCCCAGTGTTCTTTCTGGAATGGCCTTATGTGAATGAGAAACTTGCACTTAAATGCTACATTTCAGGATATAAAAATAAAGCCATTATCAGTGAAGTAACTATGTTTAAATTATAATTGATTGAAGATGAACCACGCGTGTCTATTTCAATCGGTGGACCATTTATGCATTTATTTGGATACATAAGAACACTACCTACAGGGAAGAACTTTTGTTGTGAAACAGTATCCTATTACACATGTAATAAAGCAAATGCATAGTTCATTAGACGTTTCAGAACCATAATTATTTTGAAATATATATATATTTAAACAAGTATTGCAAGTAGAAAGAAGGAGGGAACAAAAGATAACCAACTGTAAAAAAAAAAAAAGTGCATATGAAAAGCTATTGCTGAATTCTTAGGTACATTTTGATTGCATATAATTTAGTACCAACACCTAAAAGATAGGATTATTGAAGGTAGAACCCTGGATCACAACTACTTATCATAGAACCACAGAATGGTTTGGGTTGGAAGTGACCTTAAAGATCATCCAGTTCCAACGCCCCTGCCATGGGCAGGGACACCTTCCACTAGACCAGGTTGCTCAAAGCCTCATCCAGCCTGGCCTTGAACACTTCCAGGGATGGGGCATCCACAACATCTCTGGGCAACCTGTTCCAGTGCCTCACCACCCTCTCCATGAAGAACTTCTTCCTGATATCTAATCTAAACCTCTCCACTTTCAATTTAAACCCGTTACCCCTTGTCCTGTCACTACAGGCCCTTGTAAAAAGGCCCCCCCAGCTTCCTTGTAGCCCCTTCAGGTACTGGAAGGCTGCAATTAGGTCTCCCCGAAGCCTTCTCTTCTCCAGGCTGAACAAGCCCAATTATCGCAGCCTTTCATCATACTTCCCCACCCACCCCCACCCAAAACACCACCGCTATTCAAGGTTCAGTTGTATTTTAATGATCCATATTTCATATAACCTGTTACACAAACAGCATTCATGGTTTATGGCACCATTTTTCTCATATTCCACACAGGTTAAGATGTGTCCCTCCCACCTCCATCTCTGAAGTGTTCCCCTGTGATATTTTAAATACACTCTGAATAGGCATTTTAGTTACTTCCATATGACACAAAGCCACTGAGTTAAAATTTGTTTAATTCTTAAGAAAAAATGTTAGTGTATTTCACAGTGATGAAAACCTCAAAGGCTTAATACTCCCTCTTCATCCACTGCCATGCTAGAAATTTTGAATACTTGTTGTCATGGCCACACAGACACAGGCAAAAACAAGGTTAAACTGTTTATGAAGGTTATGCAGAATCTTGATTTCACAGCATTTTCTGCTATTTGTCAATTGTCTGACAGTTAAAAAACTTGTGTTAAGAAATTTTAACTCCTACCCCAAAAAATAATCAATCAACTCTGTCTTTTTAATTTCCTACTGCTTATGGAAACAAAAGCCAGCATTAAGAAGATGTTTTCGTAATGATGCTCTCCTCGTAAGACAGATCTAAGGCATACATCATTCAGTGCAAAGTCATCACACACTAGAGGGAAGACAAAAACCCCTTCATTCTCCCCTGTGGACCCTAGAGATACATGTGCAAAACCCAGCAAGAGTGAAATAAAGATGGACACAAGGTACAAGATACTTGCGTAGTTAATATTTGCTCTATGGTTTTACCAAAAAAAAAAAAAAAAAAAATCAAATGTTACAGAGATAACTATTTTTATATCTTTGAGTAGTCTCTCAGTGGCCAGCAATTTCAAACAAGTTAGTAGAATCCAAGTAAGAGTTCAAGAACGGTGTTACCAAAACCATCGAAGTTTACCAGAACAAGAGCAGCATTTGTTGTCACAATATGAGCATCATTTAAACACACACATACTAAGGTAAGTCAAGCCCATACCAAGTATCTTGAGACTGGAAATAACAAGGAATAAATTTACAGTGTTTTGGTAAGTACATATTCAACATGAAGAAACATAAATAGCCATAGGGATATAGCAACAGATTTGAACACAAGTTGAATCAAATACTTCCATAAAAGAAACATTTCGAAGAGATGCTCTAAAAAAAAAAAAATCTTACTATTTCTTTTCTTGCTTTTTGCCTCCTTGCCTTTTTCACTTCTTGACAAACTATTAACTGCAAGTCATGCCAACTGCAAGGAATGACTGAGACCTGGACACACCAAAACTTAAAAAAACAAAAAGACAAGAAAAAAGAGCTGTTTTAAGAGAAAGGCACACACAAAGTGAGGCTTTTGTTAACCACCCAGCTGGCACAGATTCTTTGGTGCGCTCTACTCCTCATGTGGGAAAGAGCCACAAGATTTTCTCACTGCCCATTATTCTCTCTCACAGAAACAGGCAGCCTTGCACTTGTACAATACTCCTCCACATGCATTTCTCAAAAAATCTTCCCAAACCACATGTGCATGTCCAGTATCATTTTACATTTGGAGTCACAGACAAACTGAGTGACCTGATGCAGTTTAGCAAGTTAACAGTGAACCGTAGTTATGGTCTCTTGCCTTCCAATCTGTGCCCAATCGAGCAAGAGGATAATGCTCCAAAATATTACAAAAACTTCAGTGAAAGTCAAATATGGAAGGCAGTATACAAGAACGAGCAAAGCTATTCACCCTTCAAACTGACAAAGCTAACAAGATTCCATGTTGCCAATTACCCTGTGTGTTCCAATTAAAACTCTTTTGATCAATAAATAGCAAGCATGTATCACCATTACCAATAATTAATAATATACTCTTGAAGAAAGGACCAAGCCTACAGAAGACAAGTGTCAGTAATTTAGCACATCCTACATTCACTCTTCAGCTACCTCCTGGGGAAAAACCAATAACCTCCTGGTAACATGAGACGCATATTGTACAGCTGTGGCAGTTTCTATAATGAAACCCCAGATATAAATGACAATATCCATAATACAAACCATAAGTCTAAAATATATCTGAATATGTGTATATATATATATATCTAAGAAGAAAATTATCTAATTTTCTCTTTTATACACATATAAACATCTGGCTAATAAGCCCCATAAAAATTTTTCCTTATTTAGGACTAAACTTTTAAATAACAGAGTTTAAACAGTCCCTTAGAATATTTTTTAAACACTATTCAAAAGAACTATCCCAGGGTAATCAAAAAGCACACACAAAATAAATTAACATCATATAAATGTGGTTATATTGTTCAGAAAGTCCAATTCTCCCATTTGAAATGAAATGGAGACCAGTGTACCTTAGGGTGAATTATTCAATGTACAGATTCATTCCCTCTTTCCTTGTAAATCTTCACGTGATTTTACCTGCATTTCCATAAATGCAAGAAACACAGTAAATCCGCAGAAATCTTGCAAAAGGGGGTTGTGTTTCATGGGGTAAGAGCAGTTTTTGTTGAAGGGCAGCAAGTCAACACGTTATCACTACCTGAACACTAGCAACACCCGTGCCCTTGTAGGCTTCACACCTTGAATTAGCAGCAATGTATTTGATGGGTTCAGTAGTAATTTTTCTTCCAGTATCGGATTAGACTACTTTGCATATACACTAAGTCAAAAGTCTAGTACTTGTGTGCAACATTAATCCACACTTACATCTGAGAACTCATAAATACACATGAAAACAAAGGTGACAGAAAATTAAACCTAGTTTTAAGTTAAAATGTTTTCAGTCCACATCCAGAAAGAGCAGTAAAAAACAAGTATAAAGGAGACGGACAGCACAAACAGAAGAAAGGGAGTACAATAAAATGAAACTGTAAGAAGTAGGTCACTCTTAAAAGGGCAAGTTGCAATTAAAATTGATCAAGAGAAGATGTAGACTGTACCATCTGCATAATGCAGCATTATTTTGCACATCACATACAGTAGATGTGATTTCTAAGAAGCATATTATAACAGCTGGCATACTTACTAATATGATTTACGGTTACCGAATACTTAATTTCTCCAGCTCTTAATGTACAGTAGTTATGCATTAGCCTTTAAAGCTCTTCGTCAGCCTTTTAGAAGTTGTTACATTTCCATGAATATTTAGTGTCCCAATAAAAGTTATCTATATTCAACTTCAGCAAACTTTCATACAAAGATATTAAATACCTTCCTAAGCTGAAATCACTTATGCTCTGAGTTTTCTTTTTGCTGTTTCAAAACACAAAGGCCTTTGTAACTTCCAAAGTGAAGGGTGTTTTAAGGCAGTAAAAGATATGTATTAAGGTTCCCATGATCGTTTATGGTTGTCTATGTGAATAAAGCATATTACACACAATCTCTCTCACACATTTATGTGCATGACTCCTCTATACTGTACATGATTTAGCAATCTTCTTGAGAAATTTAAAGTGCCACAGTTCAAATGTGCTCGTCTGTCTTTTCACGGGCTTCTAGTCCATTCTAGTTGCTTTCAGAAACAAGCCCTTGCTTTAAGAGCAATCTTTTTAGGGAAAAAAAAAGAATTCATCCTTCACTGCTGTGCTAACTGGAATCCAGTGGTCGAACCAATCCTTCTTTGTAAACACGAAGAATAGCTTCACAAACGAATTTGTATTGACTCTGTGTAAGAAAGAAAAAACAAAGACATTTATGGATGATTAAACTCCTGATTATACAGTAGTATCGAATAGCACTAACGGTCTCCCTGCTTCCCCTTCTCCTGGACAATGCCGGGAGAGGAGATACTAAAATCCAACTCTCCTGGCTGTGTTCACAGTAAACAAAGGTAATATTTACTCTTATTTGAAGGAGAAGTATTAAAAATCTCAGATCAAGAAAAACATAGCCCCCACATTTAAAAAAACACATCCTTAAATTTCAGGAAATGATTTATATGTAATAACGATGATTCTTCTGACTAAGTTTAACTAGTTATTTATGTTCTTTATACAGGTCATCTGATTTTTTGGTAGTTATCTGATGGCAAGTATTCTAAACCTTGTCAATCCTGCAGTTTGTGCTACATATTACTGAGAACATTTAAGTTATGTGACCAAAACTGCATTTCAAGTTACCATACAGGATATACGGGTCCAACTGCCTCGCTAAAAGCTTTTTTTTTTTTAAACCACCCACACTATTGCCGAAGAGGGGAGTTGCTTTATTTTCAATTTGTTTTATTTTCAGACCACACATCTTGTTGTGTATCAGAACAGGATCAAAACCTTTGGAATGAATGTTTCTGAAGAGCAGCAGACACTTTAATTCTTCTGTCACCCAACATTTTGAGCTCATTTAATTCTTATAAAGTCTTTGCAAATTAGATTAGTGGTTCTTTCCAGAATTATACTATTGCAAAGACTATTTCTTCCATGATCTTGTGATGTAGCTATTTGTTAAAAGCAATTAAGCCTGTGAGCCTTTCTGAAACATGATACAAGCAGACATTAGCAACAGGACAAATCCACAGAGCCTGAATAGATTTATGACTAACACAATCCCGACAACACAAGATGATGGAAATTTAAAAGAACTTACAAAGATCAAAGCACACCTCTTCTCTGAAAGTACTTTTCACTATTGCCACAACCCCAAAATGAACACCTTTTTCCAAAGCTCCACGTCACATATTCAGAGAAGCACAGCTTCATGATTTATAAATCCCTTTTTAGACCTCTGAAACGTTCTCCCAGCTGCCCTTGTATGTCAGGGCTCATCAAATCTCCAGGAGAGCATCTGGAAACGTTCCCCCAGTATCTCTAAAAGGACAGGGCTAAAATACAACACTTGGACTGGGAAGGACCATAGGTTGCATTTAAATATCAGTACTTAGGAATGTTATTCCTGCTCATAACCTGAAAGACATTTTCTCTTAAGTACAGAAAAACTTAACGAAAACTGGGGGATGGAAATTAATTTTCCCCATCTCGATTTTCCTGCCTCTTCTTTCAACCCTTCAGTCAATTACTCCCACCTTCAACATCACTCCATTCTTTTGTCTTTATTTCTTAATTACCTTGACTTTTCTCTTCATTGTTATTGTCATTTGCATACTGCTACTGCCTGAACAATCCAACTGTGATATTTAGCTCCCTGTTCAATACTTCTGTTAACTAGTGTGATCAAGTTACTGAATAAATAAGAATGAGCACTTCAGCATTGCTTCCTCTGACTCAGACTCTGACTACTTGTTTTCTTTGCTCTCATCTCTTGCCTGTATTCTTACTGCTCACTCAGCTGATAACTAGCTCTATTATGTACATCCCAAAGCACTGCAGTCTGTATTGTTCAGTATTTCTAATTTCTCTTTAATGCAACAGTGGTGTGTTTGGTTTTTTTTTTTTTTTAATGAAAGGTCATACAATTACACGTATTTTGTTGTAGCTTTATCATCTTGGCCAAAGCTTTTGTTCTGCTGTTCCTGATGACCAAATTACAGGTCTTTGAGAAACCACAGCTTTCACATGATTAACAAGCAGACACTAAACCGACCAGTTAGTAGATGATATCATTCCCTGTCTGATACTAACCCACAACATGCATCTGGCAATGGAATTGGAATTGGAGCATACATACAATCCCCACAGGGCAGCTGAACATGCCTCAGGCAAGGCTATTACAACTGAACAAACCCTAACAGCTTCTCCCAGAAGCCCTAAGCTGAATATCAAATACGAGCAGTGGGGCTAGCTGGAATGCAGGCATGGGAATGCGATAGAGCACCCAGGACAGATCTAAACGTTAGCATGCAGCTCTCTGGTATTCTGTTTTCTCACAGTTGAGCACTTGCTTCTGTGTCTCATTTACAGAACACTATGCCAATTCTGCTCGTTGGCTTTTCACAACAGTATCTGCATATTTCAGAAATAACAAGTGAATTTAGTTTCACAGTATTGCTGCTACAGATCATCCTTCTCCTGATGTGCTGATAGTGAACTGTGGAACACAGCAAGGAAGGTAAAAAGTCCTATTTTACATATTCAGTTTTTCAGACTCGGGGTCTGATTGTCAGTGTATTTATTGCTATTCCCTATATTCTTGAGTTACATCATTCCTGCTGATTTCTACTGTAACAGGAGGGACTTGGCCTTCTGGCAAGTTGAAGTTTACTTCATGTTCTCATGTCTGATTCTCAAAAGTCCACCACCTCCAGGAAGTTTAAGTCTGTACTTGTTCAGTTCACTTTAGAAACTGAGAAGCATACACAGGTACAACTCCAGAAGTCAACATTCAGCTTCCCTAAAATTGAAGCTGGTATTTCTCATCTTATGTCATCCTTTTCATAAGCTCAGCTTCCAATTCCACACGGAACAGGCAGGGCACTATTCAGACAACTCTCTCCTCAACAATGCTGACCTGATGCACTTCCAGAGAGGATGCTCACACTGAGTGAGTGAACAAGAGTCTCAGCAGCACGAACGAAAAATCTCTGCTCACAAAGCACTCTAATGTTACACAAGCAACTGTAATTCCTGACACTTTAACATCCTTTGATAATGCAAAACTCTCCCCCAACTAGTCAATCATAATGCTAGCTCCTGCAGTCATTAACCTGTTAACGAACAGAATGTTACATGCTTCCTTTACTTGATCAAGTGGAAACCAAAGCATTTTCTTTGAAGATGAGAGACAGAAATGCCCAATTCAGCTACTGACTTTGTGGGTCTAAACATCTTTACTTCCATTTCTCACAGGCATTTAGCTCCCTGAGATAACCCACACTTAATATTCTGTCATCCAAACTCTACTCAAGAAAGTTGAGCCTCCCATCCTTCATCCTTGGTCCCTAACATCAAGATCTTCAGTTCCAAAGCTGACACAAAATTAACTTCATGATCTCAAATTGCCTTTGAACCACTTCCATCCTAAAATCACCTCGCTGCTTTCATATTTCAGTTATTGATACTACCCAACTTTGCCTGAATTCCATTCTTGCCCTTTGTTTTTCTAAACTGGAGTAGTGGCACAATTTTAAAAAAATACATGTATTGTTCCAATGGAATTTCTACTCCTAAAGCGGCCTCTTGAAAAGCCACTTCCTCTCTACAAATCATACCACAAAACCTTTAATAAGTTCCCAGAAGGCTCTATACTAGAATGAAAAGCAAAAAATAGTCTAGCTTCTTGCAGAAAATTTAGAAAAAGGACCATGAACAGATGATCTGTGCAAGTCTGACTCTGCATTCTAAGTACCTGCAACGTATAGAAATCAATTATCTTTTAACGGCAAGGTAAGAAATATTTACAAAAAAGTTAAATACATACCTCACAAGCAAAGCAGCCTTTGCCACCACACTATGCTACACTAGATGTAGGAAACATGAAATATAACGACAACTGAAGACTCATACACCTAGATCATTTAAGAACTTTTTGGATCTGTTCAAAAACTGCACAACCACAGCATATATACAGAAAATGAGGCTTCCCCTCCATCACTTACTGATGTTTGCACCATCATAGCTCGCTGGTCTCGCATTTTTCGTACAATATCCAGTGGATACACAGGTTGGTTTCTTTCAATTAAGCACATGGCTGTTTCCATAGTGACCAATACACCAGTGCGACCTATTCCAGCGCTGTGAAATGTAACAGAAAAATAATCTATAAAATTAGTTTTTGCAATGCACGGGATTCATATCACAGTATTAATACTAGGATATTAAATAGTCTTAATTAGGAAGACCTAAATAAAATTAGAAGAGAGAGTGAAACTTATTTTTAAAGCAGCTTCCATAATATTTCCCGCCAACTATTAAAAAGAAAATAATTTTTATATAAACAAAACTAAACCTGACTTGAAGTAAACAGATTTTAAACCATTAGAACTGCTTACAAATCTAAACATACTGGTTTGGCATTTTCTACTAAAAAGGTAAGAGCTAATTGACTGCTTTTTGACAGGGACTTGGAAGAGCAAAAAAAAAAAAATCCCCAAACCATTCAAAATGGAGTTACTACCATGGTAGAGGATAAAAATGGAGAACAAGTTACATTGCAGACTATCAACTCTGTGATAATTACACGACTAAGCCATTTCACCAAAAGGTTGCAGGAGAAAGGGAGAGAAAAGAAACTCATCCTTTAGATATAACACCAGTGCTTCTGTGCTCCAACAGTGAACGCTGGTATTGTTACGACATGTAACATTTTCATTTAATTCAAGGAATTTTCAGTCTTGCAGACAAACTTTTCGAAGCAAATGCTTAATCAGAAAACACAAGTACCTGCAGTGAACAAGGACCGGCTCATTCTTTACCCTCTTTGGCCTCATACAGGTCACAAACTCCAAGAAGTCCATGGAGTCATCAGGAACACCATGATCGGGCCAAGCAACATACTGGAGATGGGTGATGGTGTGTTGTTGTTCTGTCTAAAATACAATAAGGTTTTCAAAAAGTGTTCAGTGTTATGACTCCTGTATTGATGTTTATGAGATACAAATAATTTTTGACTGTAAGCGTATTCTGCAGATGCTATAAGATGCATAGGATGTAGAAAATGTTTGTCATTTTAAAGATCAGAGTAAAGTTATGAACATTTAATTCTTACAAAGCATGCAAAAGCTGTAACATTTTCTAAATAAATGAGGTATCAAGTTTAACTCCTGTGATCTAAACAGATTTTTTTGAATTTATTGACTGTTGACATATTATACTGCAACATCAATGATCCACCTGATGTAAAATGCTACAAGAATTATGCATAATAGTACTGTATAATAGTTTAGAACAGGTTGGAAGAAAGCTGAAAACAGCAGAACTATTCAGAATAATATCAAAATAACAGGGTCTTGGGACTATACGATCTATTCTATATAAATATGTCTGTGTATACTTACAGATTCAGTTGTAATACAAAGTTGCCTGCAACATTTTCTACATCCGGTTTCTGTCAGTAAACAATATCTATATTGTTTATACATATATGTTCATTGTACATATATATGAGTGACTTCTGTATGACCCACAGAAGGCTACTTTTCTCTATGGAAGCAGTATAATTGGTTAAAAGATTCTGTTGTATGAAGAGCTCTTTTTTCATTTAATTATACCTAAAAACTCCCGGTTTTACAGAAGTTCTTTTAGCTTAGCTTTTTGTTAACTTTGATTATGAAATCACTCAATCATCTTTGCGTTCAGATTGGGCTCAACTGCTGTTATAGATGTAACCAATGATTAGGGTGGGAAGGAAAAAAACCTAAGACACTCCTGAGCTCTGCTACCTCATGCAATGACGATCTCACTCTTTACAAACTGAGACAACTCTTCATGCTCCTTGATTTCTTCCTCACATTTAGCAACAGTTAAACTTTTGGCTGCATGTTGTCGATGACCATTACCAGACTAAACATCTGACACCCTACTGAACTAAAACTCTCCTTTATCACTGCATTAGCCGATAAAAGCTGGCCTCTCCCAGTGTTCCACGCAAGAATGTTTTCATGACAAGGGTTTTTTTCCTTTTCTTATAAGCGTAAAACTACTGACATATATAACCAGTTTTAAATGCCTTTAACTGCTGGCCTTCCTCTTCCATTTGAGGAAGTGGTTCCACTCCCATGGAGCAGGGATACAGGAGACAGATTAACTACCGCCTGTGTACCAAGTAGAGCCCTAGGAAATGCGTTTATTCTACTCAAAAGTATTTGCAGAAGTTTACAATTGGCTCCAGGGAAATGAAGATAGACAGCACAGCTCCCACTTCGCCTCTGAAAGGCAGAGCCTGAGCAATCACAATTAAAAGGTCTAGCATAAGGCCCAATTGGACAATGTAATCTAACATTAACAACCACGCTTGCTGTAATACAAACTGCATTGGGATCTATCATTCAGGTCCTCAAAAGACCTCAAAATGACTGAGATCTCTGCAAGAAAAGGCATGGCCTTTTTCTACTCAGCTTTGCTGTTATTACGTGGTTTAGCTTGGTCAAATGATTGCACTTTATATTTTTCTGAAATGCCACAGAAAAAATACAAGAAAATCTCATTAAAAAGTCCTCTTTTGCAAATCAGCATGTGCATAATCACAATGTCTTCAAAAGGGAAACGAGATAATGCAGCAATTACATGTAACAGTTTGAGCTGATTCTCTTAAATCAGAGACATTTGAATTACAGCATTCAGATGAAAGAAAGATTTGATTAATTCTAAAATTATCCAAGAGCAAGTATCCAGTCACCTTCCACGTGCATCAAGAATTTCAAGCTATGCAACATGGGTAAGTGGGACATGGGACACCTGAGAACCACGACAGTGATCTGTAGCATCAAAAGCTATTTTATAAGCTCAGGAAAAAAAGAGTTAAGTTTTACTTGTCAGTGATCCAAGCTCAAATACAGAGTGTTGCCTTTTTTTTTTTAAATAGTTGATAGACATTAAGTACAACAAGCACGTTATAGAAGACTTATTCAAGAATACACCGTAAGAACACAGTTAGTCCCCAGAGCTGCTTCTGCTGGTGTGAACATCTCAATTTTCTGTTACGTGCCCTATTCATCCCTATAGACCAAGCTAATTGTTTATTAATTATTCCAGGTATGCCTCAAGCTTCTGTTTAGTTTTCTATTTGTGTTTTGACATAATCCGTTTTGATTCTTTTGCTTGGGGTCATCTGAGATGATTCAGATTGTTAAAACTTGGCCATTATCTCACTTGTTTTTGAAAATGCCAAGTATTTGAAAATACTTCATCTATTATCAGTATGTTAAACCTATTGTAAACAGTAGTTATATTCATATGTTAGAACTAGTATTTCCAATTCTTCAGATTTTTTAAGCTCTTTTTAGTGTGGTTTTTTTGGGGGTGGCTTGTGGGGGGAGAGAAGAGTGTGCTGTGTGCATGAGTGGTGTTTGTTGTATGGGTTGATGTTTTTTTTCAATATAAAATCTTTATGTCTTTACACTCAAAATGAAAGTCTGCTTTGAAATTCAGAAAATATCAGTCAAATACCACCACACATGGAAATAGCTAGCATTAAAAGACCATCTTGGTTGCTAAAATCTAGCACTCACACATTACAAAAAGTGCTAGAATTATGGTTGCTGGTTCCATAGTTAGCCCCGCTGTACATGTTCTATTAGGAATACTTATTTTTAAACAGACTACTTTTGCCAGATCCTGTTTCTTTGTACAATCCTGGTAATGGAAAATAAAGAGGTAGCTTCTCCTTATAGTTGCTGTTCAAACTGTTATTCTCCACAAGACAGCTTAAATCCTTTCTACAATTATTTTTTGCACTGGGATTTTCAATGACATCATTATTGTGCATCATAATATTGATAAATGTAGAATTCACCCTTATAAAGAGAAAATACAAGGTCTTGTTTAACGTGCAGATGCAAAAGTTTCAGCAAACCAACCTAAGAATCTTTAACATGATCAAAATCAACACTTCCCCCGACAAACTGCTGTATGACATGTGTCTGGCAATCTTCAAATGGCATGGAAAGCCTCAGCCCAGACAATTAAGACGTGTAGAAATTACAGAGAATCTATTTTCAGCTGTTTCTAGCAGAAATTGCTGGCAGTATAGTCATTTACATTGCTGCCTTTGCTTCATCTCGTGTCAATTTAACACAGCTACTAGAAGGCCTACATGTTGGTCATTCATAAACAGAAAGATACCAGTCATTTGTCACCTTGTAATTTTACCCCCTTTCAGCAAACAGCAACACCCTTCCGTAGCAAAATAGATTGATGGTTAGTTTTCAATTTGTTTGAATTGCTGCATCAATTTATTTTCTTTTCCCTCAAACCACCCCCCTCCATCATTGTGATATCCATGGAAAGTGAGAGCTTTCAAATTAAAAAGAAGCTTCTCTCCCCAAATATATTTGCATTGCCACTGTCTGCACAATCATGCTAAACACCCACACTGTGACACAAGGACCTGTCTTAACCTTGACCTGGGTTGTTTATAAGGAGTAAGTGCTCTCTTGTGGTGCTCACTTCTCATTCATTACAGCAATGGTATAACTTGTCTTTAAAGGATGAAATGTAACCAATTTCTAAACATCTTGAATTTTTTTCCTTTTATTTGAACGATTTAGTTCAGTTAATAAAGCAAATCAGGTGGGACAATGACAGGGCACTTTGGAAACAACTAAAGGTGTGGCAACGATGAACATAAAATGTGGTAGAACAAAAAAAACCTAAGGCTTGCAAAATTACTGTTCTTCAAAGTTCTGTGAATAATAAGCTTCAGTGAGTACCATCATCCCAGCTTTGCTAAGTTCCACAGGTGGGTTTCTAGTCACCCTTAACTGGAATCAAGAAAGAAGCTTGTTTAAAGGCAGAGGAGACAGGGAAACAAGCAAAAGAAAAGTTCGAAACATAACTGAATGAAATTGGAGAGATTCAATGTGCTATGATGTGTTGCAAGACAATTACCTTACAGGAAATTGAATGAAAGTTTGCTTCAGGCTTTCCATGCTATTTTCTCAATGAATAAAAAGAAATATTTATCTTCTTTTATAAAACAGTGCAAGATGAATTTTGTGTGATGAATTTTGCACTAACAGTACACTGTTCCTTTTGGTCTGTTTGTTCTGGTCTGGGTTTTGTGGTGGATTTTTTTGTTTGTTTGTTTGTTTTTTCCCCCTGTATGTTTGTTTTTTAAAAAACAAAACAAAACCAGCCTCAAAAAAACCCAATCTTAGGCCTTTTTCTGGTTTTCTTTAATTTTGCTACAGGATAGCTTTCAATCTTGGTCTTGAAAAGAAAAGGTAGGAGATTAATCCTTATTTCATGAGGCTAAGAAAGGTTACAAATATTTCACATTTGCAGTGGTTTGCTGATCTTCAATTACAGGCAAAGCAGCACTGAGTTATACTCCGTCACAAAAAAACTAGAAAGTTTCTTGTTCCCCAAGTCTTCCTGAGCATATACTAACAAAAGGGCAAGGACATAATTTCATAAATGTGTGTTTTGAGCTATTTTCCCCTAAAGGCAGATTTGAAAGCTGTGCAACTTAATTCACAGTAAAGTCTTTTACAAATATGCCTTTCCAATAGAAATCGAGTCTCTTGTGAGTTTTGAAGATTTATCCCTCTTATTATTAAAAGCTACTTGTCTTCATGAAGACCAGTCGATGCTGCTCACATTAGTTCAGGCAATAATAAAACCTTGGTTTGAATTCAGATGACTTTTTATGAGTACTTCAAAGAATGTAACAACAGCATCTGCGAGAGGTAATACATATAAAGCTTTGCAAAGTCTACTCAAACACCAGATGCCTCCAAAAGAATATGTTTAAGAAAGCAGCTCAAATGATATGTAAAACTAGGAGGTATTTCAGTGTTTTAGAGAGTTCTTTCACTAACTTCTAACAAGTTACAAAGCTTTTTATTTCCACCTGAAAGCCAAATGCACATAGAGCTATCAATTATTAGGGTCATATTTTTACTGTACGGGAAAGCTCAATGTTGAGTAGTTTTTTGAGTGTAGCCACTTTAAGTGTAGAAATAAACTTGCCTTTAGTGAAAAAAACCCTAACCAAAACACCACCTTCAAAACAACCTTGCCCTCACCACAACACAGAGACATCCACCAAGGACTATGCTTTAGCATGTTTTTGTCTAACCTGAGCAAAATCTATGCAAGCCTTTGCATCAGAAACCAAGTTCACAACTGAGAGCTATGATGAGACAACTTACACAGTTGAAGATCCTTTAACTTTCCCATCTGTTAACAAGTCTGTAACAGCAAACTATAGGCTTACACAACCTTTATCTCAAAAAGAATTAACTTGTATTTATAAAACCAAACTTGACTGCCGCAATCTGATAAAGATTTTCACTCATCACATGCTAGTAAATAGAAACCTGAAGTGAAAACATATACGGAATACAGTCACTGGTGAATTTACTCAAAATGTGTACTAGTTTGATAAATACCAACCAAGAAAAAGAGCAAGTATTTGAGGAGAGTAAACTAAAATTTACAGGAAGCATTAGCTAACCAAAGTTAATCAGCAATCAAATTATTCGAGTGACAGGCAGTAAAAGTTTGTCTACATATGCTCGGCAGCACTTCTTTAATGAGGTTCATTTCTTCTCTGCTGACATTCAAGTTTATTGCTTACAGATTAATTGGCTGAAAAACAGAATCAAAAATCATGCTGCTCCCTGACTGCAGGGTTTCGTGTATCTAGAAACTAAAACACTGTACACCATCTTAACTGAAAGACCTTTAAGTACTAGCATGTCACATGTTTATGACTACAAGGAAATCTTGATCACCTTAAAACAGATTTGGGTGCACAGTCAAGTGATAGATCCAGTTATAAATTTATGAGACTAGAGCATTGGTCATCCTCCTGTAAGATCATCAATGAAATGTTACATTTAAATGAGATACTTTCTTTTTATTTTTATTACTAGCAATTCTAGTAATAGTGAAACCTACTTAACTATAGGGAAGTTAAAAAGATTGACTAGCATTGGAACTGTAAATTAGCTTTTGGTCAGTACAGAGTGATTTCTTACACAAATATCTTATGATAGCACAAATTCTTCATCTTTTTAGAAAATATCTGTGACCACTGAATTTTGGAAAAGAGATGAAGAGGGAACTGTGTAAGAAACATAGGACAACTTAATATTTAAAGGCCAAACTTCATCCCCTATGGGAATTCTAGATCTATCTGAACACAGATTTCACAACACAAGCTGATATGCAAGAAGTATTCCATGTATTTAACTTTCTCTTCGCTTTATGCTAATGGAAAAGTTAAAGTGTTAACACCTAAGAAATATAAATATCTTACATAAATTGAGCACATTTCAAATTGAGACATACAAGGATTTATTTTCTTTTTTTTTTTTTTAATATGACTTAAGACAATGAAAAGAGCTGGAGAGACACTGCATCTTCTCTCAAAACAACACTATTACAATTCCCTTCTTTGTTGGCTGTTTAGCTGCATGTGCCATTAACCAAGTGACCCATATTTCATCCTTGAAAGAACACAGTTACTTAGAAAAAGCTCACTGAAAAACCAAAATACTTGTGAAGAAGCAGTGACTTCAAAAATGTTTACAGAAAAGCACTAAACTCATTGATGAGGCTTATTACAGTCCCTGTATAGCATAATGTACTATAAAACTTCAAAAAGTATGTTTTTGAAGAAGCTCTAAGGAAATAACAACACTATGTTGATTCATATATATACATAGTCTTTTTGTAAAAACATGTATATATTCACACACAGACATACATGCTGAGACAAAGACTCTGTACCTACTATCTATATGTGTATTCATTCGTCTTGCTTAGGGATAATTAAAGATAATGAGCATTTACCTCAAGATTTGTAATCTCCATTTCTCTAACAACATAAGCAATCGTACAATCTTCAGAATTGCATCTGACACGAAAGCTGCCATATTCCATTACATCCGGTGGATCAGGCCAATATTGGTGACATTTGGTCTGTAAGGAAAATAAGCACACACGAAGATTTTATCCAAGCACTCCTGTTTCCATCCTCCCCTCCTATATGATAGTTCAGGGAATTCAGGGAGTGGTATAAAGATCTACTCTGGGTTGCTGGTGAGGTGTTGACATCCAAATTGCAAAATAACATGACAAAACAGTCTAAATTATCTATAAAACCTGTGGTTTAGTCATTTTAATAAAAATTCAGGTAAGTCTTATGCAAGATGCTTTCTGTCTGGTACTAAACTGCAGTCACTAAAATGACTTCTCAAGCCAGAATGCAAGAGGAAAAACACGTTGATTTGTTCCACCTTAAGAAGAAAAGCCTAGCAGGGAAATTTGTAACCATCTTCAGCCACCTGGCAGCAGGTTGTAGTGAAGAAAGACACACTTTTCTTGAAAGTGAATAGTGAAAGGGCAAGAAGTGACTGGAAAAAAAACGCGAAAGGGAAGTTCTCATTAGATGTTGGCAAAAACTATTTCAGTGAGGACTGTCAAGCACAGAAGCCAGATGCCCTATGAAGATGTGGAATCGCCATCCTTAGAAGCAATCAAAATTTAACTGACAAGACACCAGACAACCTGCACGAACTTGAAAGCTGCCCCTGCTCTGAGTGGAGAGGACAGGACCAGATATCTTCACAGGACCCTTCAAACATGAATTGTTCTTAGATTCTGAAGCAAGATCACGTTGGAATGCAAAAAATAGTGCAATCCAGCTTGTCCTCTCCTATTCCAACACTGAAGCCTCACAGCTGAGGGAAAAAGCAAGGCAGGCTCTATTTCTGGAGGCTGTAAGAGAGAACTCATTCTGCAGAGACTGAGTAAGCAGGAAAAGGAATACCTGACAGCACTGTCACCCCTTGCACCCCAAAGAAGTTCAGCCTGCCTGGTACTTGTCTGGCTGCTTCCATTAGAAGTTTCCCTTCTTCTCTCCCTGAAAGCAAGTGATGAAGGTAATGAAGCAACCCTAGCTATCTTCTGAAGATCGCTTCCCTAACTCAGGCATTAGTTTTCAGGCCACTAAGAGCTGTGTGTTACTTCAGTTTTTGATAGGAACTCACTGAATGGGAAAAACATCTTCATTTCTCTATTCCACTGTATTTTGTGGTTTAAGGTAAAAATATTTTTAAACCACAGAATAAGGCTTATAATCATTAGCAGCAAGACCACTGTATAGAAAGTTACTGCAGGCACAATAATCTGCAGTAACTTGGGTCATATAATGAAAGTTGCCATCCACATTTTCTAGGGAAAACTAAGCTCAGAAACTGGAAGAACGGATAAACAATTTTAGTTCATGTGTGTGTCATTTGTCAGAGAGATGTGTACTTCTTTTCTGTGTCAGATGTAAGTCTGAAGACAGACACCTTCCCTTAAATGACTAATTGTATCTAAATGCTGAAGTTATAAACAAAGGCCCAGGCAGATACTTACTGTTGCAGGAAGGTGTAATTTGGCCTCTGCCTCAGCCAGGTTTCCTGCAAGGCCCATAACGGATCAACCTTCAAGCCTACCCATGTGTGACAAGCTAAGCCATCATGCAAATGCAGCTGCTGTACTGCACGTGTAGTTTGAGGTACACCAGAATAAACTCAAAGGTGAAGTAGATTTCAATGTTGAAATTAGATCCATGGAATACTCTTATCTTTTCTAAAAGAAAATAGATTAATCAGTTCCATGTACAAGCATAAGGAACCATTTTCTCCCGTCTTCTACTGCTGATAGTAAAAGGGTGATCTTCAGACCCCTACCACTCTACTGCTGAAGTTATAGTGTCTTCCTGGTTTTGGTTCACCTTCTAAAGGCAGATTGACATGAACATCTAGACAGTCTACATGTAACTTTTGTAGAAATCTTAATTCTTGTATCAATTCCTCATTTTAAAAGGTAAGCTTTGAGCAGCACTGATGCCAGAAGGTTTGCCACCTCATTTTCCATCTAATCAACGGCTGAATTGTTGTGGAATAGACTGAACTTGAAAAAGCATTCCAGTGAGACACTAGTTCAGTGAAATCCTTGCCCACAGAACACAGCTCAAGTTTGCCCATCAACGTAAAGGTTCTAACATTTTATCCCAGTAATTAAATATCCTCATCTTCCAGTTCTGCAACTCCCATCTTGTGAACAGTTGCCTTCATGTAACAAATATAAACCAAATAGCTTCCAAGTACAAGTCCACTGGACTTATAAAAGCACATACTAAAGCAAAAGTCTACCTGAGGTCTAAGAAAATCCAAGGGAGTCATAAAAAACCATCTTGACACAACTCCCCAGACACCGTACTTAAAACTTTATTTAATGGTGTGTGACCAAAACAGCTGAGCTGTAATTGTCCTCTTCACTGCCTATACATCTTAATAATAATTGTTACTAGCTCCAAAAGAAGCCCAACAAATTGATATTCTCAATGTTCTACCTGAGGTCTAAGAAAATCCAAGGGAGTCATAAAAAACCATCTTGACACAACTCCCCAGACACCGTACTTAAAACTTTATTTAATGGTGTGTGACCAAAACAGCTGAGCTGTAATTGTCCTCTTCACTGCCTATACATCTTAATAATAATTGTTACTAGCTCCAAAAGAAGCCCAACAAATTGATATTCCCAATGTTTGTATTTCAGCTTTAGTTCATTTGGATTCTCTATCAACTCATCAACATTGCTCATGCCATCTACAACATTTTTTTGTTTATAAGTTCTTTTTTAAACTAATAGAGTGGCAAGAGCTGGAAATTTTGAAATGTTGACATTTCTTAATTCTATCCTTCTTAGGGCTCAATTTTCAATGGCAATGGGGCAATGGCAATGGGGCAATTCCAAGGACAAGGGGCAATGGATACAAACTGGAACACAGGAAATGCCATCTCAACATGAGGAAGAACTTCTTTACTTTGAGGATCCCAGAACACTGGAACAGGCTGCCCAGAGAGGTTGTGGAGTCTCCTTTGGAGACTTTCAAAAGCCGTTTGGATGTCTTCCTACCCAACCTGCTCTAGGTGTATCTGCTTTGGCAGGGGGGTGTTGGAGCAGATGATCTCCGAAGGTCCCTTCCAACCCTGACCATTCTGTAATTCTCTGATTAATGCAGTGCTAGCATTTATTTAAACAAAATTAGAAGAATTGTTAGACCAATTCTAGGAAAGAATCTAAAGCACAAATAAAAGTAAGCGAGTTAAATTCTGACCACTACCATGCTAAAACTAGTAAGTACTGTAAGGACAGACTCTAGTCTGAAGCCAGACTGCAACCTTTGCTCAATCTGCTCAATGTTTCCGGACAGCTGCCGAATCATTATGAGAACAACTGCAACACGCAGCCCAGATCTCGGGGGGGAAAAAAAAGGGACAGAACACAGTACCTGGCTGATGAGCAACACTGAGTCAATGCAGTGATTTCTGTTTATGAGACTACTGGCTTCTTTTCAAAGAAGCATAAAAAAGAGAAAGTTGCAGAGTCTATGTTCCTCTAAGTAATACAGTAAGCCTAGTCTTCAGAGAAATGGTTCAACAGAATAAGCTGGCCTATTCTAGGATTATCTAATCAAAACAATGGGGGCGGGGGGGGGAAGTTAAAGGTTCAGTACATTTCTTCAGCATACAAAGAACCTGAACACTTACCCGACCTCGCTCAGTGAGTGTTGTTAACATGATGATCAGGGACAACTTGTGATCCCAGACAACTTGCCAGAAGTGTGCACAGGTGTGTGGAAGAGGCCCCTGAGTAGCAATGTACCGGTTCACAATGCCCACAGAAGGAATTTCCATCTATAAAGAGAAAGAAAAATCCCATGTAAAGTTTGCTTTCATTACTCCTTGTACTCTTTTTCTTTAATTCAGCACTTCAGTGGAGTGGAGGAAAGATTCAGTTGGCAAGCTGAGTAATAAGACAATCAAGATCACAATTTGTTATGTGAAAAATCTTTAAATATTTCATTTAAACCAGATGTATACTATTGTTCCTATAGTCCTTCATGGTGAACTAAGAAGAGATAATTAACAGTGAAAATGTATTTGAAACTTGAAACTGCAAAGCTTTCCAAATTTGCTTTAAGATTTAGTAAGGAATAATGGAAAGGTATACCAAAGGCACACCAGCAAAAGCTGTTTATCACCTGATACTAAACATAGTAAGTTAATAGCTGATTCTGTGAATGAGGTGTTTAATTTAAGCATCTGACACAAACACATATATATTTTCCTCTCTTCTCCCAGTCTACACACATGAATAGGGCTTTAGTCTATCTTCTGAACCCTTCATAGCATAGTCAGTAGGCCAAGAGGTTATGGGGGGAAAAGGGCTTAGTTTTAAGCTATAAGAGACAACCTCAGCATATGCAGTATATGGAAAGGTAAAACATTTTTTTACTGGTTAAAGGCCCTGTACATATCACAATGTATACCACATGCTTGCACCTACTGTGTACCAGGATGGCCAATTGTTTCACAAGAGGCACTTCACCTTTTACATTATGAATCTTCACATATTTTACATTTACAAATCCCCAAAATGTAAAATTAAAAAACCTTATTCCTTGAAAAGGTTAAATTTACCCTGCCATTGTAATACAGGAAGTGGGCAAATGCAGGTCTCTATGACTTACATTCACGTAATTTGCATTAATGTAATCTTCAGCTCCTTGCAATATTATCCTTGTGGCATCATCTGCACACAAAAAAATAATAGAGAGGGAATCAAATCAGCAATCAAGGGGCATGCTTCCCTTCTATTAAGTAAAAAAGAAAAAACCCTAAGGAATTGCAGAAACACAAACAGCGGAATACAAACCAAAATAGGTAACCTTTGAGAAAATAAAATGAATGACTGATTATATAATGAAATTTTTAATCAAGAAGTTCAATACAACAGTTTCATAAGCTGTCATTTAGAGGATAAAGCAAAATAGGCAGAAAGTCTGTACTTAATACTCACAAGGTAGAACATCTTTGTATCTGTTCTTGTCCATATTCTGAGGTACCTTTGCACACGTAACAGCCAGTCCTGGTTTCTTTCTATAAAGTTGCTGCAAGACAGAATAAAAAATGGTAGGATTTTGAGGAATGATATTATGCTATACACACACACAAAATAGATTCACATGAAAATACATAGACTGGAAAAAAATATTGTAAGTTATTTTCTATAATCTTTTTCCTAACCATCTGTAAAATGAACCTGAGCGATTTTTCTATTTTTTAACATGACAAGAATTTCTGTTATTGCTAACCCACCATCATCTCTGGAAGAATTTCTAGAAAGAAAAAGGGGAAGTGTAAGAGTTATTGATGAAAACTGTTTCCCTCCAAAGTTCTCTTTTTCTTATAAAACTGTGTGCAGAAAGAAAACAGAGGTTGAGGGTGGAAGAAGTGAACAATAAAGGACAGCAGAAGAAAAAAAAAAATAGCTGCAGACTGACATTTTCTGGAATCAACTGTAATACAAAAAAATAAAACAAACTCCTATTCTCTGGACTAAAATCATCACGTTTAATCCTGCAAGTACCTGAAAAAAACCCAAAGCTCCAACGTATCACAATCTTTTAACATGTGACTCTCCTCCAACAGGGCCAAACCCTGTTGTGCAAACTAACTGGAGTGAATGTAGGCATAAGAGTATGTAGCTAAAAATAAATTCTGTGCTCACAATGCATTAAGTGCATTGTACAAGAAAACAAAAAGTTACAGAGGGGGATGAACAAAATGAAGAAATGCAATCACACAACCACAACTTTTCTGCATTAAATATACTGGGAAGCAACTTACAACTGAGTTATTAACCTGCCTATGCCAGAGTTTTTATGTACTTCACTGAACACTTACCAAAGAGTTCATTGCATCTTAGATGTTTAATGAAGATTTACACTGTGGTCCATACACAAAGTGGAATGAAACAAGAAGTAGGAGGCTGAAATCCCCTACTTCAGTTGTCAGAAAAGGAACAACAAAAAAATGTTTATTCTACTGTGAGATTCACTGAATCCTAGGACTCTGTATCAGAGCTCACCACGTTTCTCAACTTAAGCAGCATAAGCAAGCCATGTGAGAAGGGAACTTGATAATATATGTAACTGAACAGCTTCTATCAGTTATAACACAAGTTCCATTTTACTAGAGCCAGATTGCAATTTCTGGGTTTTTTCAGGGGAGACAAAGAAGAATAATTTAACAATTCTGGAACTTCATTATTGTTGCCTGGCAAAATGTCAGTTGCCGTTGACAGATTTCTTAAATTTTGTGTAAGTGGAGGAAGATATTCTGGAAAAGCTTGATTATTCACAGTCTACTGGCTAACTATTTACTAGTTTACTGATTTGAATGGAGAGCTTGAGAGCCACCAAAGATGATGAGATGATGCTGCAATTGTCTCTGCTTTTGAAGATCACGAAACAAAAAAATAGGTGCTTTTTTTGTAACACCAGTAATATCCTTTTATAAATGTTGTCAGGAAAAAAAGTCATAAAAGGTCAAATATCCTATGAAGATTATCACAGGAACTTTGTGCACAAACTTAATCACCAACATTGACAATTAACAAAGTCTTGAAAGACTAGTCTATATCTTTTGAGTTACTGTTTAAATAGCCAAAGGACTTACTGCTATTGCTGAATTGCAACCAGTGCTGTGGATGTTGGAAAGCAGCTATGAACCAGTCTGCAATTCCTTAAAGAAAGGGGAATCTTAACTCTTAGAAATCTTGGAAACAAAGCAAACCTCATAAAAAGAGGGGTTATGCAATAACCATTATGACAACTCTTCAGGCCACCACCATTAAATCTTACAGCATTTGAAAAAACAGTTAAAGAAAAATACCAAAATGGGGAACTATGGTGAAACAGGAACAAACATACACACCTTTGCCATTAGAGAAGTATCTACAGCATCTTTTGGAATTTCTTACGCTAACACCCAAGGTACTAATTTATTAAACTATAAAAACATTTTATTAGTCAATCTTCTATGACATTCCTTGCTAACACACTGAAGAACATGACAATAATTCATTAATCTATACAGCAGTTTTCAAAGTCTTATCCTATATGCAAGAGTATCTCACCTACAAAGTAATCTGCCCAAGAAGTAACCATCAGTGGTTTAGAACGCCAGGGAAAAACACAGAACTGGATTTACAGATGTCCTGCAAACGGAAATTAACATTCCAACACTTTCCTATCAACCTCTAAGAGAAGATGATGAGGAATGAATGGTCAAGTTGCCCCTGTTATTCCATGAAAGAAGGCAACACATAAGAACTTGAAACCTTAACTTAAGGTATATAGGATGTTTGAGCAATGTCACTCAGCAGCGTGTGAAAAGAATCAAAGTACAGGACTGACTTCTGTCAAAACCCCACTATTCTGCTTCATAAAGTAACTAAGAAAAAAAAAATAATTTAGTGAGCTTTGGGTACTTGAGCTATAAACATGCTAATTAAATAACATTTTTTCTCAGCAGATGATATTTTATGCAAGACTGATAACTCATTCTTCCCTAAGTAGTGAAGGGTGAAACTGATGGGTAAGTCATATTCTTGCTCTCTTGAGGTATGACTAAACAGGAGCAATTGGATTTCCAATTAATTAAGCCCTTACATTACTCGCTGGTCACAGCTACTGTTCTATATCAATGGCATTTGAGGGTTGAGTATTACGTACCTCAAACTGAATAAGGACAGTTCCACTTTCCAGCCCTTTCCTCAGCTGCTCCATAGACTCCTCCAGTGTATCACCACCATATTCAGAACAGATAGGAAGAGATTCTGGGATATTGTGGGAATCAATTTCATCTTCTGATTTAGGTTCCACAAACTGTTTAACTACTGAAAGATGTATTGAAAATTAAAATCGGTTACATAAAGGATTAATGTATTTGCAATACACATTAAGATTTACCAGCCTGCCACAACAACGAAGTTTGTGAGGACAAGACTTTAGGAAAGCAAATAGCAACACATTTAACTGCATTTCTTTACGTACTATGTTAGTGTAGAAACTACTAAGAGTAAAATGCCCTCATGACCTTTCAGAAAATGAAACTCCACAAGGTGCCTATCTATGAAGGCAAAGAACTTGACTTCCAATCACAGTTATTTGTGGCAACTGTGTCTTACAGAATGAACTGTTGAATAGGGTGATGAGTCACAACATCCACCCACCAGGGTAAAAACCAAATGAGTTTTGCCTAAAAAAGTTTAGGGCATAATTAATGGAATACCTCTATCCAAAGCTTATATAAGTTTGGAACCCCAACAGCAAAACAAACACAAACATACTTACATTGTACTCCCTTGCCATTAGAGAAGCAACTGAATTCTTTTGCAATTTCTTATGCTAGCACTGAAGGAACTAACTTAATAAACTACAAAAAGATTATTACTCAGTCTTCTATGACATTCCTTGCTAACATGTTGAAGAACATGAAAAACTAATTCATTAGCCTACACAGCATCTCTCTCTATGCAAGCTACTGGGCCACCAAACGTGTCCAGCTGTGGTTATTCTCTGCAATGATCAGAACAGCTCATACCTGCCAAACTGCAAAAAATGAAGAGCTGCTCAAACCCATGCCTACACAAATGACTGGCATGGGGTCACGTGTTATCTTTAGCTAAGAGCAGACTCCTCTTACCTGCAAGAAGGATGGGGACTAGATAAGTTAAGAGAAGACTAAGTATTGCGTAGAGCCAGTAGAAAGTTCTACAATACTAGGAGCAGGACTTTCCAGGGAAAGCAAGACCAAGAACCTTGTCTTTCCAGAAATGCAAGAAATTTTAAATTAAGTAAATGCTACAGAAGTACACATAATTTAGGAAATTTCATTCCCTCCTGTTTCCCAGTGATGCATAATCCCATCAGATTTTTAAATCTTAATGTAATCAGAAACTCTGTGCAAAGCCTTTCCATAATCATGCGTGTTAAGGTCTCACCACAGCTGTCTTAAGGAAAGTAAATAGTACACTAGAAGTTTCACATCATCTGAAAGCTCATGGGATCTGCATGTGTTTAAACACAGAGCAAGCAAAACCAAGTTGGCCGAGTTCCCCATATTTTAAATATACAGGCTTAAGACCCTGCGTATTTCAGAGAGTGTCTCCTGTTTGTTGGCAGCAGTTTAGCGAGTAGCCAGCACAGGTCAAGCTCAGTATCATCACATAATGTCTATTGTAAGAATGAAAAGAACAAAATGGGGATTTGTGAAATTATGCTATATTTACCAAAAAAACCCCCACAACCCAAACTTTTGCAAGAAACTTTGTTCTGATGGATTTTTAGACTTAAAAAGTAAGAAGAAATTCTAACTTGATAGATTCTTCGTTGCAATGGTAAGAACCTATGTAGTTAAAACTATTTGTACTAGTAATTCAAACACAGGGAGATCTACTTTTTAGCACAGATCTATTCCCAGTACACTGAGAACACATCTATGTAAACAGAAGAGGATATACCACCAAGCGTAAGAGTAATAGTCTCAAAAACATTGAAAAGGAATAAAAATTTGCCTGGTTACCTTTCCGCCTGACCAAAAGTGCAAGCTCTCTTGTGTGAGATTCTCTGCTGGCTTTTATGAACATAACCACCTGGTCATGTGTGTGCTCGGAGATATCTCTGCCATTAATCAATACTATCTGATCCCCTTCATTCAGTTTTGGAATGCATTTATCAGCCTGTTTCAAGACCAAAAATACACATTAATGTCATTGCACCAGTCATTTAAGCAGTAACACATCAGGATATTAAGTTCATCACATAAGCAAAGTCTTCAGAGTTCTCCTGACAAGTTTTCATCTTCTGTATCAGAAGTTCTATCAAAAGACAGTCTAAAGCTGTCTTTCTTGTTTCAAAGCTTCTCAATGAAGATGAGAAACAGTTCAAACAACATAGTGGTAACTATAAAAAGAGTTCATATTTATCAAACAGCCATCATCAGATTGCTCTTAAAGTTCTAAATTCCAGACTCCAAGCCTCAAAACCAACTGGTTATAGCTATTTGTAAATGAATTTCTGGAAAAGGTGTTTTGCGCACATAAAATGCTTCTGTTTTTATGTCATGAATACTGAGAAGTCCAAACATGATTTTTATGAACATAATTGACAATTCACCACACATGCATTTGTTAAAGTTTAAAGAAATCCATACACATTTTCACATTTTTGTTTCTTATTAGATTCTTGTTTGGTGGATATCAAATGATATCTACAAATAAAGAACATTCTTCCTCACTTCATACACTGGAAGTTTTAACCAGAAGATGCAGGTGAGTACCCTGGCACTTGTGACAAGTTCTTTTGCTACCTGTGCTGCAGAGAACAGAGGTCACAGAACACTACACCAAGGTTTTCCCCATCTGAAATGAAAACTTAACATTATCATAGAATCATAGAATGGTTTGCGTTGGAAGGGACCTTAAAGATCATCTAGTTCCAACCCCCTGCCACATCTCTGGGCAACCTGTTCCAGTGCCTCACCACCCTCTCCAGGAAGAACTTCTTCCTGACATCCAATCTAAACCTCCTCACTTTCAATTTAAACCCGTTATCCCTTGTCCTGTCACTACAGGCCCTTGTAAAAAGTCCTCCCACAGCTTCCTTGTAGGCCCCTTCAGGTACTGGAAGGTGCTATAAGGTCTCCCCGGAGCCTTCTCTTCTCCAGCCTGAACAAGCCCAACTCTCTCAGCCTGTCCCCATAGCAGAGGGGCTCCAGCCCTCTGAGCATCTTCACAGCCTCCTCTGGACTCACTCCAACCAGTCTATATCCTTCTGTTGTTGAGGGCCCCAAGCTGGACACAGTATCCCAAGTGAGGTCTCAAGAGAGCAAAGGGGGAGAATCCCCTCCCTCGACCTGCTGGCCACACTTCTCTGAATACAGCCCAGGATACGGTTGGCTTTCTGGGCTGCCAGCGCACACTGCCGGCTCATGTCCAGCTTTTTGTCCATCAGTACCCCAAGTCCCAGGGCTGCTCTTGATCCATTCTCCACCCAGCCTGAATTATGTCTTGTTTAACTGCTGAACTCTAGGGTTTGTTTGGCTTTTTTTCTGCCACACTTCTTAGTGTGAAGGGACTAGAGCATCTCTGGTATGAGGAAAGGCTAAGAGCTGGGAGTGTTTAGCCTAGAGAAGAGAAGGCTCACGGGGGATCTATATATAAACACTTGAAGGGAAGGTGCAGAGAAGACAGCCAGATTGTCTTCAGTGGCACCCAGTGACAGGACAAGTGGCAATGGGCATAAACTGAAACACAGGGGGCTCCATCTGATCATCAGGAAACACTTTTTTTTACTGTGAGTGTGATTGAGCAGTGGAGCAAGTTAGCCAGCCACATTGTGAAGTCTCCCACTTTGACATATTCAGAAGCCATCCGGACATGGGCAACTAGATCTAGGTGACCCTTAAGGGGGATTGCACAAGATAACCTCCAGGTCCCTTCCAACCTTCTGTGATACAAACGTGCAGGATTCTACAACCTTTGAGTGTCGAGTAGTGTAGCAATTTTATTTTCACGGCTATCCTAATTTTTGCCTAGGAAGAACCCAGTTACACAGGAATGATATACTTACATATACACTCAATTTCATTTGTCATATGAATGAGACAAAGGCCTTTACTGTTATTTGCTAGTCATAGTTGTTCCCTGTATTTCCTTACTGACAGCAAAGGCTCCCTGTGTTATCCATCCAATGTTATCAGCCCTATCAAAAAGCGTCAACTCCCCAAATGTGAACAAGACGTTTGAATTAGCCCCGATCCTGGTTATGACTTGCAGTGATGGCTCCTAAAGTAAGTTTATCAGCGATGTACTGTATTGCCAAGTAAAAAACAGGAAGAGATGGAAAGGAGAAGTGACAATGATAGAACCATCAAGAAGAAAAATGCAGAATAAAAAAAAAGGGCAAGGTTATGAAAGAGAAGATGAATTGGGAGCCACTTGTGTCAGAGAATAAAGTAAAAGGAAAATAAGACAGGTATGAATGCCACAAAACAGATAAATAAGAAAAAGAAGAGATGGAAAAGAAAGATATATACAAGAGGAAAAATAATCCCAAGCAGAAAAGCTGCTAAAAATTTTGAAAAAAGTAAGTTTCCCCCAACTTTTTCCAAAGAAATAAAGAAAGAAAATAATGAATAGATAAGATTGACAACGATTAACAAAAAAAAGACAAATGTAAACAGAATAAGTATGCAAAGTAGGAACAGGCATAGTGTTCTTCAACACTGATTTAACGAGGTATTCACAGCTCCCTTGCCATATTTTGTACGATTTACAAAGGCAAGACTGAATAATGCAACTATGAAAGATTGATTAGTTTAATCACTCTGAAATATTATTGTTTGAGATACAAATTAGTCTCCAGTGATCTGAAGACCATATCAGGTCTTCTTGACTTTTCCTCTAGGACAGGCAAGAAGTCAACAAGAACACAGGGGGAATAGTTTGTGATCTCCTAGATTTGCTGTAATTTAGATTTCTTGGTTGATTGCTGGCTATTATTCTTTATTACAGATGAAGATTAATATTTTTGCTCAAAGAAACTTTGTTAATCGTGTGACATGTTAATGCCTCAGGTCTCTTACTTGAATCATCTGACTATATAAAATATAACTTGAAGAAGAATTAATTCCTTCCATGTAAGCATAATTTGTAGATTTTTCAGATACTGAGCTTTTCCAGACAATTAATTATGTCAAAGGCTTTCTGTCCTATTGACACACCCAATGTTTCACTTTATGCTAATCATCTTATTATGGCTCCAAGAAGCATGCATACTATTTTTCAATGATGAGCTCTATTAAATAAAACTATGACTTCTTTAGCACCTTAGGACATTAACACTGAAAAAAATCAGTATAGAACTTTTGATTAAAAAAAGAGATACCAGATGCAATAAATGGTTGTTGTTTAGATTTAATGCCCTCCCCCAACAATTTTGGCTACTCTACCCTCCAGTCTTCCCGGCATACTAGGTTGCTACTGTATTAGAACTTGACATGGAAGGGAAAACAGTGCCTTATTTTGGTGAGTAGATTTGCTTTCCCTCCTATACAAATAATAGAGATCTTTTTGTAGGAAAGTGTGAAAAAGTGACCTACAAACCTGAGAAATAATCTTAGGAAAATGTATGATAATTTTCCCTGCCATGGGCAGGGACACCTTCCACTAGCGTTCCTCAAAGCCCCATCCAAACTGGCCTTGAACACTTCCAGTGAGGGGCCATCCACAGCTTCAAGTTATCCTATTACCGTAACTTCATATTACCAAACAGCATCCCCGAGGACAATTTACAGGGGAATGAGTGAATCTAGAGCAAGTTGAAACAGTAAATACACTGAAGGAAAGGCATCACTGTGCTAAAATAACATAAACATGGATTCCATAGTCCACTTAACCTGAGCATTCACGCATCAGCTTCATTCCATTAAACAGTCAAGAACAAGTGAAATTTAGTTTATGGTAAGCCATATAAAAGATATTTTTAGAACACAGCAATATTAACAAGTATAACTTTTTTCCTCTTGCTGTAACATGATGGGATTTCCCTAACACTGCTGTTGAACGTATAGTATTGGATAACTGCTTCCAATTTATTCCCTGAGCCTTGGTAACTTGCTCACTTGGTGGCTTACGAGGCTAGAGAACTTGCTGGTCATTTGTGCCTCTGCCACTAACTGGAGACACTTAAGTGAAGCTTCTAAGTTAGAAGTCCAGTCCTTTTCCAATTCAAGAGAAAAAAAAACCCAGATGGATACTTTGAGAAAACAATACGAATCTGCCACAGGAAATCACTGCCTCTGGAGCAGCATCTTCTGTTCTCTGATTGTGGAATGAGTGTATTTGCCCAACAGTATCACAGATCATCCTTAAGTAGTTTGCTAGGTTGACTGTGAACTGTTTTAAGGACTCTTTATTTTCACTTTGTGGATTTAAATGATAATGGTAATTTCCTACTACTCATTCAAAGAATCATTGCAGTTCATAAAAGGAGTGCTATGCGCTGCGTAAGTCAAGCCACAAATCATAAATGTGACAAAAAACTTCTCAAACAAGCTGCTTTAGCTTGATTTATGTCATGATGTGTAGATATCATTCTTGTGACCGATTATCAGATTTCAAAAGAATCTACAAGATACAGGGGCAGTGGATTTTTAGGATTAAGCCAGCAATATTTCTTATCAAGTTTGTACTGAAATTATGAAAGGCTGCAAGAATTGGGCTTGTTCAGCCTGGAGAAGAGGAGGCTCCGAGGAGACCTCATTGCAGCTTTCCAGTATCTGAAGGGGGCCTACAAGGGTGCTGGGAGAGGACTTTTTACAAGAGCCTGTAGTGATAGGACAAGGGGTAATGGGTACAAATTGAAAACAGGGAGGTTTAGATTAGGTATCAGGAAGAAATTCTTCACAGAGAGGGTGGTGAGGCACTGGAACAGGTTGCCCAGAGAAGCTGTGGATGCCCCATCCCTGGAAGTGTTCAAGGCCAGGCTGGATGAGGCTTTGAGCAACCTGGTCTAGTGGACGGTGTCCCTGCCCATGGCAGGGGGGTTGGAACTAGATGATCTTTAAGGTCCCTTCCAACCCTAACCATTCTATGATTCTATGAGCGTTGAGAAATACATTTTGGAAGAAGGTGAGTGAAAAAAAAATGTGGTAAGATAGAATATGTCATTGCAAATTTATATACTAATACTATAATTTAATTTATATACTAATACTATCTTATTCCTGAAAAACTATTTCACTAAGCATGAAGAACCTGACTTTCACTAACTTAATTTGGTAGCCCATAATTCTTTTTTTGGAAGCCCCTGCTCACAGTGCTTCTAATCATGCAGACCTCTACTACATCTCCTTTAAACAAGCTCTTCTTTCTAGGCTACAGTGGCCTAGATTACTCACTTCTTTAATGAACACTAGTCCATATCTTCAGTCATTGCTCCTGCCCTTTAAACCACATTTTCCAGTTCAAAACACACTTTTTGAGATGACAGGGGGAAACAAACCTGCTTTTTACTGCTATCTTGTTTGCCTAACATTTTCAGATCTTTTCAACTGTGGTTTAAGAAACCACTGGTCAAATCAATTTCAGTTTCAATTTCCTGATTATGGGTTTCCAAATTCCTACATGTACATGAGGGGTGGAATGCGTAATAAAGGGAGGTATTAAACAAGTCTTAGGAATTTACTTACAGGTGATCCTGGAGTTATTCTTGATACCACTAATGGCATTTTTTGATCCACACCACCCTAGAGGAATGTCAAGTAAATAACAACCATAAATAGATCATTATTATAAGCATAATTAGCTCTTTAAACAAGTAATCACTTATTTCTTTTTATATAAGTTAGGTTAGTAAGGTTGAATTTTCATCAGCAAAGGAGTGGAGGAGGGTGTGGTGTCTTTAAATCTACCGATTTCCAGTAAAGTAGACCAAGTGTCCTTACTTAGTCAAACACTAATAGGCAATAATCAGATCAAATGCAGCATTTATTCTAACCCTACCCTTCAAACAAGCCTAATCCAACACTTGAAATTTCAAGGTAAACAGTGTTCTTAGATGTCGTGATGAACCTGCAAGGGATCAGGCAGGACTGAAGTTCCAGACAACTGTTCTCCCTTATTCTTTTTACATGACCTTCTGTCACTGCCCCAGCAATAAGTGCCCAAGGTGAAAAGATCAAACTCTGTCCCGATTTTGATATTATGCCTAATTTACACTTCTCTATCTGCTTAAATTGAATTACAGTGGGGGAATGTAAAAAATGTGCAGAAGTCAATTACCAATAGTAATTTCCATTTTCTTAATAAATTAATTTTCATGTTTCCAATAGTTTTTTTTAATGGATATACTCAATTAGAGAGTACAAATTATTTAACTTGTTTTATAATACAGAGGTCCAATTTTCCAGAAGTTGATGCCCTAAATTAGGCTTCCAAGTTCATATTTAAGCAGCCAAATAGGCAGTCTGCTTAGGAAATGTGCCATGCCCACAGTATATGAAACTAAAAACCACAGAATTATTAGAGGCTTATTTCTGTAAGTGTTGCTTTAGCACTGAAGGATTAGGCTGCCACTTCTAAGCACTCTGGGTCCACAAGAAATTCCTGTAGAATATACTGCTTTCTCCAAAGCACTGCATTAAAAATGAAAAATAATAATGAACTGATAGCAGAGTATCTCTATATAGCATTTAAAATTAACTAAAACATTGCTGTTTTACCTTTAGATTAAATCCAAACTTCCCGTCTTCATCTGGTATGATATGCACCAAAAGTAAGTCTCCCTCAATTAGGTCATTCTGCAATACATAAAAAAACAAACCAAAATTTTTCTAATATTTAAAATAACAGCAGCAAATGAGAAAAGAGCGCATCCCAACTCAGATGTGAAAAAATCCACATTTAAAATAGGAAGAAGGTAAGGTTACAAAATATACTCATGACTGTAACCTTTTAAATTATAAAATAGCAACATACACAACAGCAAATATGTTCTCCACTTGCTCTGTCCTAACAGTCTTACTATCATCTTAGCTTTCTCCAATGATAGCTCCTATTACAATTTCCACTGTGTTGTCTTTACTAAAGGTGACTTAAACGGAAAAAAATTGTTAGGTGCCACACATTTGAATCAATTGTGCAATCAATACTAGCTTTGACTTCAACAAAAGGCACCTGAACTTACCTTATCACAGTAGTACTGACTGGAATCTTCTGTTGAGCTACTTTTTGTAACGTTGTCATATGTTTCTAAGAACTGTTTATCGACTCCTTCCAATGGGTAACGGCCAGAAACGTTAGCAACTCCATATGGAGACTGAGCCAAGGCTTTAGGTGAGGTACGGGTCAGAGAACTCCGCGTTGGACTGTTTCCCAATACATTCCTTCATTTAAAAAGGATAAATAAACATTACAAAGGTATCATTATCCAGATTTTTACATTAAATAAAACATGCAAATGTACTGCCCAGTTAAAAGAGCAAGCCAACTTTATACTTCAGATTTAACATCACTTCTTGAGATGCAGAGTAGGGTCAACAGGATTGGATTATGATCTAAGCCTGTCATTTCTTCGGTGGACATCCAGAAGAATGGACAAAACTAGAGCAGCAAAAACACTATCAGCAAAGTATTTGGATGTACAGGACATCACAGTAGCATGAAGAAAGTTGAACTCCAGGGGAAAGGGACTTCAGTTGACAATCTTACCCATTAAAACCTTTTGCCAAGATTCCACTCCCATTTATGCAAAACATTTGATTTTAATCTCTCCGCCTTATGAGCGCCATTTCAACCTTATCCCTCTGGAAAGGCACTTTGCAGAAAAGCCAAGGTAAATTGTCAGAGAAACAGGAAATGAAGTGACAACAAAAGGTTTCATGACATATATATTCTGTTGTTGAGGCAGCTATAACCACGAAGAAGGACCCAGTATTAAATGGGGACCTGAGCTAGTGAGCCAAGAACCTTAAAGTTCAAGAATAATGAAAACAGGTAAGTAAATGAACACCAAAAATCTTAGAATTGCCCAAATTGCCTGGTCGTACTCCAGAACCATTCAAACATTCATTTAACTGCACGCTCTCTTCTGAAGAGGACGAAATGCAGACCCCCTGCCTAATACAACTAAACCCCTTCTTTAACTGGATCAAACTCACAGGTATCATACATGCGAACTGCTCCGTCTTCACCAATGCCGCACAGCACTTGGTGAAAACCTCTGTCCTGGGGTAAGCTCAGATATAGCTCAGACAGTTTCATATCACTAAAACACAACACTGCATATGGCTGAAACTGAGCGGTAGCTACTAGTATTACCCCGCTGCAGACAGGCCTTCCACTTCGGTGATAGATCATCATGCTCAGTGGCAGTACATCTTGCAAGAATACTCTGCACCGCTACTGACAACCCAGCACTGCAATGGAACACGTTTGATCCTTGGAAGTAGACAGGCTGTTAGTTTAATGCAGTTTACCCCTAAAAGCAACATTAAATTCTCACAGGGTTAAAGTAGCAGAAGTATATGCAAATAAACCCCGGCACTGAAATTTGTAAACTCAAACATTCATCTCTGCTCTGGTACTAGTCTAACTATCCATGTCAGCTTTTCTGCACCATTTCCAGCAACCACTGCCAGCTGTCGGTGAGGAGTGATACCACACTGCAGGCGAATATAGCTTAGGCTTTTAACATACAGGACTCTCACTGCAGCAAACTTCAATAATGCAAGCACTTATTTCTTGGCTTCTGGAAACCCGACTGCAACTACTGTAAACGTTCTGAAAGGTGTCATCAAGCAACCTTATTCTTGCCATAACATTTCTGATCTTCAATTATACTATGTGTACTTGGCCATGGGAATAAAGTGTTTTGTACAACATTCGCAGAATTTTCAGTTATTGCAGAAAATATTTTCTCTGCGGTCAGGAGATATTATTCACTTGGCACTCTCAAAAACTTGAAAATACTCTGAAATAGTGAACTATGACACTTAAAAACAAAATTTTGACAGTATGATTGCTTTATCTGATAGCTACCAGGACTCTTCATGATTCCTGTGAGGTAGAGGTAAGTAAGTAGGAACAGTGTTCATGCAAATACATGCTAACAAGTTTTTCAGAACATAGTGATTTAAGAAAAACACACAACATTTCACTTACAAGTTGAGATTACAGATCATAATGATTTTTCAGTGTAGAAAAAAAACCCCAAACAATACCAGAAAAATATGACAAATAATTTCAGTTAATGACTTCTGTTACTATCATAAAGAGTTACCCAATAAAACTGCCAGTGGATTTTTGCATCATTAAACATTTACAACAGCTTTTAACCAACTATTGTGTTAACAGTGATTTTGGGTGTATTAGGACTTAAGACGTTCCACATCCTGATCCAAAACCTTTTTTTTTTAAACCACAAATCTTAAGTCTTCATTGGTTTATATATTTATTTGTGTCATCTAACCATACAAGACCACTACTTTGAAAAATCACTTCAAATTATGTATTATATAATATATCTTAAAGCTAGACATCCTACAGTAGAAAGTTCAAAGAAAACTCACTTTGGTGATTCTTGTTCAGATGACCTGTGAAAAACAAACAAACCAAAAATCAACAATAAATGAACATAAGTTAAATATTGAGGAAAACAAGAACTAAACCCTCTCTCTCAAAAAAAAAAAGAAAAAAGCCTGCATAACAGCCAAAAGGTATGCTCACGCTATATTAAAGAATACTGAATCCTATGCTGAATGTCTGAATCAGACAATTACAGAATTTATGAAAAACTCAACAAAAATCCCAAGGCAGCTCTAACCTCTCACTTCCACTTTTGGCAGAAGCCCAGCTGCAGATAACACACATCTGGTACCGCAGCGTAAACTACGTAGGAGTTTACAGAGGCAATTATTTAGTAAGACACACTACATCATTTAAGAAAGTTTTAGATGTGCATCGCAATGGCTACAGATGTCACTGACTGCATTTTGTAAAAAGCCAAACGTGGCAAACACTTTATGTACAGGTAACAACAAATGAGCACAGGCTGCTTCAGAACCATGAATTTTCATACACATTCTCATAATCCAAGAGCAGAACAGATGTTGACAGAGATCTTTAAGGCAAAGCATAAATAACCAAAGCAGAAGTGGTTACACGGATGAGGACAATCTAGCACAGAAGAGAAATAAAAACTTACAGCACAGAGCACTTTCCAAAGCATCCAATTACCTTCACCAGAAATCACCTGAAACAGCGAGCTAAACTACATCGCATCAATTAGAACAATAGCTGTGATGCTAAGATAAATTTGAAAGTACAAGTTACCAAAAAGGTGCCTGCAAAGCAAAGTAAGTTCAAGGCAGATGGGACAGCTTTACAAATTCAGTTGTGACCAAAAAAACTGGAGTGCTCTAAGTCCATGCTGGAAAATACAGAACGTGAAGCAGTCTAGTTTTAACGCAGAGTTGTTGAATTGTCAAGTTATAGGAGAAAATTCACTGTATACAGTTAGATTTTCAATTACTGTTCTCTAAAACAACCTCAAAACTAAGAATTGTTTGAAACTATGTGTCATCAAAACTACATTAAAAACAGCAGCACTAACACTATTTTAAAAGTTTTCTTGTATGTATTCTATAATATGAAGAAATTCTTCCTTGAGAGGCAAAGGTGGTGAAACTTGATTCCCTAAGAGTTTGTGAAGGTTTCGGTTGTGTGTTCCTTTAATATTTTTTTTTTTTTTTTACACAGCACTAAACTTCTTTTTTTACTGCAGTCATATCCCCCTTCTGACTCCACTGACAGCCACCTACACTATCCCACAAATACCTCTGGTTCTCCTTGCTTGCAATCCCCATAGCATTTTTACTCCTTAAGTGCCAGCAGCGAACACCAGATCCTCAGGGATCGTGCATGCACTTGCTGCTTGATCAGCCCACATCTAAATGGAACAGACAACCACTGAACTTGTACTGTAATTGCTCAGTGAGAGGATAAGATCAATTTAAGGTTTTTTTTTCTGCCTAGTCACTGACATTCACTAAACTTTGCATCTTTGAAAACTTGACTCCCACATTAGATTTGACTGCAATCGTCCAGACATTCTGAAGAGGGAACAGAGGCAATGACATAAGCCTTATTTCCTTAGGAAGTCATGCTAAAAATAAAGAAACACTGAATTTATTTTTGTTTAAGCTAATTGATTTCCTTGTGAGGCAAAGAACAATGAAACTGTACATCTTTTCCACATTTCACCACAATAGAACTACAGCTGTATTACCAAATTCTATCTGGAATTCATATTGCCATAAGTTAACCCCTTCCAAAAGCCTTCACCGAGAAAATTTACACTCTGTGAAAATGTGATGCAAACAGACACAATGTCCCTATTTTTAATATATCATCTCTCCTATTACCCCACCCCCTCAACAGGGTGAGGTCATTTGAGACAGCAAACAGCAACCTGGGCTTCCATTCCTATTCTGTTCATAAAAACATACAGCAAATTTTTCATCATCTCACCAATACATTTGGAGATTTACATGTGGGATATAAATTCTTGGTAATACTTGCTGCAGGTTTCTCTGTTGAATTATTGCACTTCAGTTACTTTAGTTCAAACATAACAGCTCTGAAAGAGTTACTAAATCATTCTGTAACCTTTTAAAATGGAAAAAAAGAAACCAAAAATTTGACCTAGAAAGCAACGAAATTCAGTGCTTAAAAGAATTCATCAGGGACAATGCAGCTGTGTCATCCTAAAGTTCTTAGTAGCTCAGTGTGCTATAGCTTCAGAATTTTGATCTCCACAACTTAAACAGTATTTCTAACATTTAATTACTCGCTGACATGTTAACAAGAATAACTAGATGATGTTTTTTGGTTACACAGTATTCCACATTATGCTAACAGATCTTCCTCATTTCAGAACACAGGACAAGGACTGTATTTTAAGTCAATAAAAGAGAACACTCACCAAACCAGCCATTCAGCTTTTTCATCAAGAAAGAGTGGCCTTCCTTGCAAGGAGATTAAGCTTTCCATTGGTGCAGCTAACAAGCAAACTCTTTAAAACTGCAGGTAATTTCTCATCCTTACTCCACAGTACCTCTAGAATGATGCCATTTCTATCTTTCACTCACTATAGATTGCTCTGTCAGTGATAATCTTTATAAAAAAACTCTTTGCCAAGAAAAAGAAAAATATCTAACTCTCCTCTTCGGTCAGGAGGACAAAAAGAAAAGGTCTTAAGGAAAGACCCCTCCTCCCCATTTCAGTGTGCCCTACCAGGGAATTCTGCTATTCTGAGAACTGAGGATGATAAACTACAGCAGAGTAAAACCCCAAGAGAAAAGGGACAACTGAAACAATAGAACTG